CAATCACTTCCAAACTTTGGTGAATTTTGGATATGAATATTTATTCAAACTTCATGGCATAGGTCTATCTGCATAATGAGCTGAAGCAGATTGCTGAATTTGACTAGTCTTTGATTTAGGGCAGGTCTACCCTGGCAAAGTTACAATGCCAGCAGTTACAGCGCCTCTCAGAGTGCTGAAGGGAAACTGCTGTTGTGTGTTCACACTGTCAGCTGCCTGCGCAATAGCGTGTTCACACTTGCAGCACTTGCAGTGGTATTCAGAGCGGTGCACTCTGGACAGCTATCCCACAGAGCACCTCTTTCTCTTCTGCCGCTAAGACTTGTGGGAAGGTGGATGGGGTCGCGCAGCATCCTGGCTCCTGTCCCAATGCCCCATGATGCATTGCTTCACATCCCAGCAATCCCTGTGCTTCCATCCGCATTTGGTGCCATCTTTCAATGGTTTGTGTACTGTGCGCCCTGCCTCTTCGGGCTGCAGAAATGGATCCCGAACTGCTGACCAGTATGCTGCTCACTCTGACTAACACGTCACGAGTGGCAGGGGAGTTATTCCTTAAACTACAAGGGCAAGAGGAGTGCGACGTTGATCTCACCACACGTACTAGCTACGACATGAGATTGCTTATGGCATTCACAGAGGTGCTGACCACAGTGGAACACTGCTTTTGGACTCGGGAAACAAACACTGAGTGGTGGGATCACATCGTCCTGCACGTCTGGGATGATGAGCCATGGCTGCAGAACTTTTGCATGAAGAAAGCCAGATTCATGAGACTCTTTGATGAGCTCACCCCAGCCCTGCGGTGCAAGGACACGAAAATGAGAGCTTCCCTATCGTTGGAGAAGCATGTGGCAATTGCACTGTGGAAGCTGGCTATTCCAGACTGCTACTGATCCATCGCTAACCAGTTTGGAGTGTGAAAGTCCACCATTGGACTCATGTTGATGAAAGTGTGCAGGCCATTAATCACATACTGCTCCAAAAGACGGTGACTCTGGGCAACGTGCATGACATTGTAGATGGCTTTGCACAAATGGCTTCCCTAACTGTGGAGGGGCAATAGATGGCACGCACATTCCAATTCTGGGACCAGACCACCTAGCTAATGAGTACATTAATCACAAGGGGTATTTCTCAATGGTTCTCGAAGCACTTGTGGATCACTGTGGGCGTTTCACAGACCTTAACACAGGCTGGTCCGGAAAGGTGCATGATGAACACATCTTTCGGAACGCTGGCCTGTTCAGGAAGCTGCAAGCAGGGACTTTCTTCCTGGACCAGAAGACCACCATAGGGGAAGTTGAAATGCCCACTGTGATCCTTGGAGTCCCTGCCTACCGCTTAATGCCATGGCTTATGAAGCCATACGTGGGGCAACTTGACAGCAGCAAGGAGCTGTTCAACAACAGGCTGAGCAAGTGCAGAATGCCCGTTGAGTGTGCATTTGGCCGTTTAAAAGCCTATTGGCAATGCCTGTATGGGAAGCTGGATCTGGCCAATGACAATATTCCTATGCTTATAGCTGCGTGTTGTATGCTCCATAATATTTGTGGAGGGAAAGGTGAAAGCTTCACTCAGGGCTGGACCACAGAGATTCAGTGCCTGGAGGCTGAGTTTGAACAGCCAGACTCAGAGACCAGGGCTATTAGAGGGGCACTGCGCAGGGCCATAAGGATCAGGGATGCCTTGAGGCAGCAATTTGAAGCTGAAAGGCACTAATATTTGTTGCTATGCTCGGATTGCAGTGCTTGTAATGCTAGGAGGTGATTGGTGCACATGATGCAAGAAGGGAGTTTAACATAATTGCATGTTGCTTTGCAGTGCTCCTTTTGCTTTCACTTAATAGAATAAAGATTGCTTTCAAACCAACACAATTCTTTTATTAAAAGACAACAACTGAAGGAGAGAGTAAAATGAAAAAATACATCAGCAAGGATGGGGAGGGGGAAGGGAAGGTCTCAGGAGGAGCCGGGATGGCTAAAGATTTGTGTATGTCCAGGGATCATATCCAACCTTCTCTTCTGGAGTGCGATGCAGTGGGTACTGTACTTCAGCAGGGCCAAACTGCAGAGAGATGGGTTGAGTGCAGTGAGTAATGGGAGTCCACACTGCTGGACTGTGAGGAGGGAGGAGTGGAAAGCTGAGGGTAGAGACTGGAGCCAGGAGGTTGATAAGAGTGTGTTGGCGGTGTCTGTGGGGCTCATGGGAAAGAGTTTTGCCACAGCAGCTGTAGGGGAGGGTGGGCGCTGAGCTGCTCGGTTTGAAGAGCTAGTATCACCTGGAGCGTGTCCCCTTGGCGCTCCATAACATTTAAGAGCCACTCCATGGCTTTTTTCTGGAGTGCCACATTCTCCTTTCAGTCCCTCTTCTCGCTGTCCCGCCACTCCTTCAGTTCCTGTTTCTCGGCGGTGGGCTGCATCATAACGTCGTGCAGAAAGTCCTCCTTCATTCTTCTTGGCCGCTTTCTAATTCTGCGCAGCCGTTCTGCCGCTGATAACAAACAGGGAGGCTGTGCTCCCAAAGTCATCTCTGTTAAGTTTAAATGCAACATTTTACAGAAGCAGTATTGTTTGCAACACAGACAAGACTGATTCAGTGCTTTAAAACACAGCCAGTACTTACAGACCTGTCACTAACTGGCTGACCCCAGGCACGCACACATGAGCCACAAGACCCCCAAAATGATGAGTAGTCGCAGGGGCAGGGTAAATCACTCTTCCTGGACCCTGCTGTACACTGGGCATGTGGCTCTTGGGGAGAGCCAGCACTGTAGGCGGGGCCTGATAATCATTCCTGTCCCCACACTTCCCACGGGAGGTGATCATAATGGAAGATATCTCGCTGCTGAGGGTGAGCATGGAATCAAAGAAGGGTCTTCTCCAAGCCTGTGGTTCCGCCCTGGCCCCTATGCGGCTCCCCTGTGTGCAGCAGTGGCCCCTCCCACCCCCCACGTGATGGGACAGTGGCGCGGGATATTTACCATTAACGGGGCAAGAAACAAAGCAGCTCTGCCAAAGAACCTGCGGCAGCAGATTGCCCAGTATCTCCATGAAGGAACATTAATCCACACTGTGTAGAGTCAAGCACAGGAGTTTATTACGCACAGTGCTGGCGGAGTCAATGTGCTTATCAGGCTCAGGGACACTGCAGAACAATTAATTACAATAGATTATATAGGGTGCTCGTTTTGTGGAGAGAAGCGACAGGGATGGGCTTTCCCAAACCCCTGGATAGGTTCTCGCAGCAAGACAAGATAAGCACAACAGGCCAATGGTCTAAAAGATTACGTAATGGCTCCTCCCATCGCCCAAATTAACATATTGCTGACACACAGGTAATTACCCCCAAACCATGTCTATTAAAGTATATAGGTTAAATCCTAATTTTGGGGTCCAGGGGAATGAGGTAGCAGCTCTCCCGGTTGACCAACAGGTACATTCCTGGAGATTTAAAGCAAAAAAGCAGTAATTAGTACTTAACAATAACAATTATTTGTAAGTTTACCTTTGCATTTTTGTGGGCTAGGATTGGCATACATCTGTGAGGGGAGGGTGTCATAACTCATGTCAATCATATTAGGCCTCTCCCCGAACTCTGTCTGGGATCTGAGGGGTATTGTACCACTATCTCCTTGCTGCATTAGGGAGTAACCATGAGGCCTTTCTCAGCACTTCATGTGTCTATAACTTACGATAAGGATGCCCAGTTACATTCAGAGTTATGCTGACTCTGCTCACTGACTAGAAACACACAAGGTTATCTGTTTACCCCAGCTTTCTCTTAGCCATGTATTGTTCTTCGTCAGCTAGTCCTCATCTGGGCCTATATGAAAAGTTCTTAGCAGAAACTGTGGCAGTTAAGATCTTACATCCACAGCAAATGGATTTTGGCCCTTCACTCCACGGGAGTTTCCTGGAGATCTCTGAGGGAGATTCCTGTGAAGTGAGGGAGTCAATCAACAGCCTGTTCTGCCGCTCAGACTAGGCATGCAGTGGGAGACAAGCCTGCTGCTCCCAACAACTCACTTCAGCAATTCCCAAAATCAGATCCACTTACCAGGGACCTCCTCTCCTGTTTGCACTTCGCCAAGATATGACTGCTGTGACTGGCTAGGCTCCTCCGGGGTAGAAAAGAGCTCCTAGCTGCATGCATCTTTGCCTCTGGGTCCCCCTTCCCCTCCACATCCTCTTCCAAGATTTCCTCCTCTTGGCTCAGCCCACTCTCGACTGGCACGCAAGCCAATGAAGTATCCACAGGGGCCTTCGCAGTAGAGGTGGGGTCACCACGGAGTATCACGTCCATCTCTTTGCAGAACCGGCAGCTCGTGGGAATAGCACTGGAGTGGCGGTTTGCCACCCGCGCCTTGTGGTAGGCGTTCCACAGCTCCTTCACTTTGACCCTGCACCACAGTGTGTCCCAATCATGGCCCTTTTCTATCATGCATCGAGAAATCTGTCCGTAGGTATCGTAATTGCTATGGCCGAAGCGCAGCTGGGACTGCACAGTCTTCTCTCCCCAAATGCTGATGAGGTCCAGCAGCTCATCATTGCTCCAAGCGGGGGATCGCCTGGTGCATGGAGCAGCATGGCCACCTGGAAAGATGTGCTGAGCACGAAGTGGCTTGTCAGGGTGTACACCTCATTAGAGTCAGACTGAATGTGGTTCCAAACTCCACAGCTTGAGATCATCTCTAATCATGATATATTTTTGAGTTTGTAATACATTTAATAGTGATGGCAGAAGTGTTTTAGTGGGAGTTGGCTCAGATAGATTAAAGATTCCCTTCCCATTACCACAGTTACAATCACCTATTTTTAGAATCAAACCTGAAGCAAATCCCTCTTCCATAATTATATAGTATAAAAGAATCTGGTTATGGAAAAATTGAGTTAAATTAAATAACAACAATGTAAAAAAACAAAAAAAATCACTGAATATTTGGATACTTGGCTTCTGCCCATTTATTTTTTTCAGAAAGGGAACACTTGACAGCTGCATAAGAATTTTCAGTATGATGATGAACCGAACATGGATTCTGTATTCACACACTGGATACAAGCTTCATGACAGATAGAAAAGAAACATTATGGCTTGTCAGAAGCTTGGAGATAACATAAAAAAAAAATGGACCATCCAAAAAACAACCCTTAGAAAACACATAGAAGACACAATGGTGAGTAAAATTTATGACTGTCTGCGATAATTGTGCAATGATTATTTTATAAAACTAGTGAACATGGATATGTCAAAATGCAACGCAAACTAAGCTTGCCTTTTGCCTTTGGTTCCTTCTGCATACAGGACTTTGTACATTCATTGTAAATAAACAAGACTCATCATAGAAAATACCAGACTCAATCATCAATTTCTGCTCCCACCTGGAGTAGGGCTCCTGCACTTTGACTAGCCACTCAGGTCAAAAAGGAGGAACATTGTATTTGACATTTTATTTTAATCTGCTTGAGAACGTCTGTTTTCAAACCAGAGCATAAAAACAATGTTGAAACCACTATAATCAGGCTTACACAATCATTATACAAACACCCACCATAACATCTTCATACGCTAATAACCACATAGGTATAGTGTTTCCATAGTCATAACGCTGGGCCAAATTCATCCCTGGAGTAACTCCAATGAAATGAAAATATTAAGACCACTAGAATTGTTTCCATGGGGGAAAAAAATGTCTTCCAACTGTTTTAAAACAAATGAGTGTGTACAACTCACACATTCCCTCACTGGGCTACTACATCAAAACCAGCAAGTGAATTTTACTATAAATATAAGTGGAAAGTTGTTACTACTATCATAAAAGAAGTAATGTGTTTTCAATGTATGGCATTTAATTTTTATAATCATTGGGGTATTTCAGCTGGAAAATAGAACTCAAACTTAGAAGCTTAAAATAAGTTTAAGTTGTGCTTAAATGTTAGATAATTCTTCTTCATGTGTATTTAGGGTCCGGTTAAGAAAAGGCACATTATTTGAGAGAGAGATGATAGATAATTAATGGCTATCTACATCTGCTGCAGGTTTAGCACTTATATATAAATAATAATAGTAATAATTAATTAATAATAATACCACAGAAGTAAGCACTGTATTAAAACCTAAGAAAACAAATCCTTTCTAGTCTCATTTTTTAGCCAGTGCTGAACATCAAGGGCCTAGATTATTGAGTCTTTTCCTCCTTTGCTCTAAGGTGGCAAAATAAACAAATGTTTTTAATTAATGTTCTGTTTCTGATAGTAATTACTGCTATCACATTCAGCAAGTGACATTATTGCTGGAAGAAAAGGAGTACTTGTGGCACTAACCAATTTATTTGAGCATACTGTGGAAAGTGTAGAAGATCTTTTATACACAGAAAGCATGAAAAAATACCTCCCCTCACCCCACTCTCCTGCTGGCAATAGCTTATCTAAAGTGATCACTCTCCTTACAATGTGTATGATAATCAAGTTGGGCCATTTCCAGCACAAATCCAGGTTTTCTCACACACACCCCTCCCCCACAAACACACACAAACCCACTCTCCTGCTGGTAATAGCTTATCTAAAGTGACCACTCTCCTTACAATGGGTGGAGGGAGGTATTTTTTCATGCTTTGTGTGTATAAAAGATCTTCTACACTTTCCACAGTATGCATCCAATGAAGTGAGCTGTAGCTCATGAAAGCTTATGCTCAAATAAATTGGTTAGTCTCTAAGGTGCCACAAGTACTCCTTTTCTTTTTGCGAATACAGACTAACACGGCTGTTACTCTGAAACCTGTCATTATTGCTGGAGATACTCCAGATTTGCTCACACATTGTACCTCTATTAACCTGTAGGTTGAATTTTTCAGTTATTAAAATGTCAGTATTTACTGGCTGAAAAAGCAATAGCTGTCCTTATCAGTTATGTTACACCCTCTGATTACATATGAACAAGCTGAGAAATTGTTACTCTGTGAAATGTATGTTGCTTCTGGAGAGCTCTTATCTGCTCAAGCTATAACCTGAACAAAGACAGGGTGGAAGAGGCACATATGGAAAACACCTACTTTCACAGATGGAAAGTTACCTGATAATGCTGAAACACTTCTCATTTCCTCAACATCTTCATAAGTGAATATTTTGAATCAAAAGAAAAGTCTTTGTATTATATTTGCAAAGATGTTAGCTTGACACCTCTGGGTCCCACACACTCTCACAGACAGTGGGCAGTTTTCTCTGTGATGTGACACCCGAGAGAATGATGATGTGTAGCAGAAGACAAGCATTATCATTTACCTAGGGAGAGCCCAAGGGAAGCAAACTATTCCCCATTGTGTTTGGAATTTCCCTGGAAGCTTTAGTGGGCCTGCCCATCTCATTACTAAAAGCACTCACTGCTTTTTCCCAGCACTGGCTGTTTGGAAACTCCTCTGAGTAGATCTTATTGTACCTCATTTTGTCCATTGTCAGCCTCATTGATTACTGGGTCATGTACTTTCTTTTTACTACTTGTGAAGAATTGGCTAAGAAATTCTCAGACATTAAAATATCATGTAGATTGTTTAAGTGGCTGCTTTTGTGACCTAGGCATAAGATTTGATGACCATGTTTTCTAGCTTCAGTTCATAAATTCCAAGGCCAGCAAGGACCTTTTCAGCCTGATAACTATATACATGAAATTACCACCTATAACATTACTGTAACAACAATTACTATAACTTCACTATAACAACAATGCTCACTGTATCATGAGCCTTCCGAAGACAACCGACATGACAAACTTTGCATTGGATACCACACAATCATATCATAAGGATGAACATGGGAGTGCTGGGTGCTCCCCTGAGGTACAGAGCATCACAAATGGCATGAATTACGTTACCCATGCTTTAATTCTTTATTAATCAAGTCCCATATCAGCCACTCTGTTATCTTGCCCCAGTTATAGATGTGCAGATATGGTAGCTTTGTCTTTATCTCTTTTATTTTGCATAAGTGAGTTCTCTGGGTGTAGCCTTCTTTTCTGTTTCTCTCCACAGAAAGCTTATTGCAAGTAAATAACAGGAATAGTCTTTGTAGTCTCCCTGTCGGTTCATTTCGAACTGTACTACAACAAAGTACTAGAGAATAACATGCAGAAAATAATCTTATACTATCAAGGAAGGGGACTGGATCAATGGCTCTCCAACTCTCCCAGGCCTTGATTCAACAATGTACTTAAACACATTCTGCAGATTACACTGTAGGACAGGGATGGGCAAACTTTTTGGTCTGAGGGTCACATCAGGGTTCCAAAACTGTATGGAGGGCCTGATAGGGAAAGCTGTGCCTCCTCAAACAGCCTGGCCCCCTATCTGCCCCTCTCACTTCCTGCCCCCTTACTGCCCCCCTCAGAACCTCTGACCCATCCAACCCCCCCACCGCTCCTTGTCCCCTGACCACCCCATCCCGGGACCTCCCCGCCCCTAACCACCCCCCCCAGTACCCCACCTCCTATCCAACCCCCCCTGCTCCCTGTCCCCTGATTGCCCCAACCTCTATCCATAAGCCCGCCCTCTGACAGGCCCCCCAGGATTCCCACGCCTATCCAATCCCCCCCCATTTCCCCTCCCCTTACCGCCCCCTCCCCAGAACCTCCGCCCCATCCAACCGCCCCCCTGCTCCCTGTCCGCTGACTGCCCCCCGGGACTCCCTGCCCCTATCCACGCCCGTGCTCCTCACCCCCTTACTATGCCACTCAGAGCAGCAGGACTGGCAGCCGCGCCGCCTGGCTGGAGCCAGCCACTCTGCCTGGCAGGAGTTCGCAGCCCTGCCGCCCAGAGCACTGGCAGCATGGCAAGCTGAGGCTGAGGGGGAGGGACCGGGGTCTAGCCTCCCCGGCTGAGAGCTCAAGGGCCAGGGGGACGGTCCCGCGGGCCATAATTTGCCCACCTTTGCTGTAGGAGATACCCATTCATGGACCAATTTCCACTGCTCAAACCCTAGTATTCCACTTCTTGGTTGTCAAAACATTTCTTTCTAGGGACCAGCTAAAAGGGCTCTTCAAACAACAGGGAGCCAGTGGTTCATAAGTTGAGAATTATTTTACTAGATAATTTATTGGATGGGTTTTTGCCTGACTCAGATGGGGGGACGAAGGGAATGAAGAAGAAAAACATTATGTCCACAGTGTATAATATAACCAGGGCTTAATTTTTGCCAGGGATAAGCCTTGGCACATCTGAGTTGGGCAGCTCATAGACCCGCCACCTCTGGACTTGCTGCATCAGTTGTGAATGTAAAAAAATTGCTTGAGCCTCAGCACCTAATTGCTTGAGCCCCAGCATCTCTTTCATTACAAATTAAGTCTGAATATAACATTATCTTTAGAAAACCAAATATTTGTTTGCAATGAAGGTCATCGAACACAAGGACCTTATTCTCCAGACACTTAGTTTATGGGTTGATTAGATGTTATTTGTACACCCCAATGCTAGTGCTAACCATATGTGTTTTTTCCTATGGTTTGAGGCTTTACGTTTTTAAAAGCCACATGCAATGAGAAAACCTTTTACTTTATTAACTTAAGCATTCAAGTGAAATTGTAACTTTCACAACTAATTGGATATTTTAAACTTAATTTAAAATGCTGGTCTATGAAATGAGTTAAACAAAACATTGTCAGCTTCCTCACATACCAGTTAGCTTGGTCAAATCTATTTTTCCAACCCATTACAGACAAGAGAACATACGAAAAGGGGGAAATAAAAGGTGCTCTTTTTTTGTGGTCTGGTAATTGGCTTCTGGCCACCGCTGTGGTACTTTCCTTGTACAAGCTGAGTCACTGGTCTGTCAGAGGTCAGGCTGGAAGACTGGTATGAAATCCTGGCCCCTCTGAAGTCAATGGAAGTTTTGCCATTGATTTCACGGGGCCAGAATTTCACCTCTGACGAGGAGTTAAGTTCCAGTTGTTGGGTGAAGTTTCCTTCTCTCTTCCAGTGTCAAGGAACCACTTGGGATGAAATCAGATATGCAGGCAAAGACCAAATTCAGGACCAGCTAAGGCATGTTGTTAAATCTGAGAAACACCACTGCCTGAGGTTTGTCATAGTTACCAAAGTAACTGTACTTCTAACCCCTTCATGGCCTCCTTGAGGGCACCCCACTCAGGTATCAGGCTTTTACCACCACCTTTCTCAGGGTGGGAACCTCT